GTTTAGCTGTGAGGATGCCATGGGAGACAGTAGTAAAACAATATTAAAATATTATTTTATTTTGTCTATTGATTTTAAGTTTAGAAAACTTCAGTGGTTAAAAATACTGTCTATTATTATTCCTGGAAGTCTTACTCAGAATAGAGTTGTCAGTAAGTGTATCAGGAACTGAAAGTCAAGTAAGTAGCCTCTGAAACCTACATTTCAAACAAGATATGAATGTTATCTTTCAGCAGCTGTCTGTGCTGATCAGGTTAGGAGATGCTTTTGAAGCCTCAGCTTTGGGACGCAGCTCTCTGCTTTCCCTCCCTTGCTGAATTCCTCCAGTAGAAGATGGAGAACAATTGACTTTTTTGAGCCTCCGTACATAAAACCAGCTCAAATTGAGTTGCCTAAATTCTTTGTGGCTTGAAGAATTTTATTGTGGTGAATATCTGAGTGTTCTGCTTACTGTTGTGGAGTCTGTGGGAGCTGTTACTTTCACTTGGAAAGGTTTTAGTGTGGGCATGAAGGAAAGCCAGAGAATTTAAGACATGGGGGTGTCAGGGCCACCCTTTGACATGTCCAGTGTTGAATTTGAACTTTTTTTTTCTCATATCAATCTTCTCATTCATTTGATTTGCTTTGATCTTTTCAAAACTACTTTTTGAAAAATTCACAAGAGTTTTTTGATAAATTGGCTGTATATAGTTTTGAAATATTTGGTATAGTAACACCAAGAACTGGTGCTACATCGGTAGTAGTTTAAAGTTGAAAAATGGTCTTCCAGAACAGAACAAAGCTACACAATGTGTTACTGGGCAAATTCTTTTTCTTTTAACTTCATAAGTAAGTAAATGAATGGTTAATAACTCACCACATGGTTTTTGTTACACACTTTTTTTCCTATGTGCTATGTGGCACCAGGTTGCAAGACAGTTAGGCCTTTAAAAACAGAAAAGTGTATGTGCTTTGAAATGCCTGATCTGTCATTTTTCTCCCAAGTATCGAGTGATAGATTTCCTAATACTCTTTTTAAGAGCAGATATTCATGGCCTAATCCATACATGGATTGAAAATTTCGCTGCCTTCTGTGAATGGAATATCAGCCTGTTGTCATAGAGATGACTGCTGAACTAAATAAATAGCAGTAAGACGAGCATTGAAAAAGTGGAAGTTCAGTCAGCTGTTTTTGTTGGCGTAGAGATTTTCTCCAAATGTCTCCAATAATGGAAGCTGTTGTGGTGAAAACTCTGATAATGTGTTATTCATCATTTATTGTGTTACCTTCAGGCTCAGGAAGATGCTGAGAAGCTGCGCTCGGTTGTAATGCCTATGGAGAAAGAGATTGCAGCACTAAAGGAGAAGCTGACAGGAGCTGAAGAAAAAATAAAAGAGTTGGAAGCATCAAAGGTGAGGTGGAGTTGTAACTGTGTCCTAATTTATATCTTGCATCATGGTAGTTTGATGCAGATAAGTAAAGTAACGTTTTCTAAGAGAGAAAAAGGTGTATTGTGGAGCTCTTCATGCACAACACATCTTTTCCCCTGTTGCTCAAGTAACATATTTGACCTATGTGTTTTCCCATCTTTCACAGAAAGATGTCTTTCTGTTTTGAGGATTGCATTACTTATGTGTGTGCATGATCTATGCTGAGCTTCAAATTGCATGGCTTTTGGCCTACTAGTAATAAAAAGGAGAAAGCTCTAGAAAAATAATTGCTTTGCACCTCTCCAACCTCGCCTTTAGATTAATATTGTGCTTACAGCCACAGAAAGATTTGCATTTGGCAGAAGTCTTTTGAACTGTTTCCATCCAGCATCTGCTATAGTTCATTTTCTAATCCTGGGCATAAAACTGAGGCAATATGACCAGTCTTTTTATATCTTAAAACTTAAGCAAACCTCAGATTCGTAGAATGAATAGTGGTCACTGCTGCCAAGAAATACGATTGAAGTGTGTAGGTGATTTGTCTAGCATTCCTGTATTCTTCAGATATGTCAGAACACCTACTGAACTTTCCCATCAGTTTTGAAGGGTAAATATTATCTACATCACTAAGATAGTTGCATTTAATGTACTGTTTGATACAGAAGATGTCGTCTGTAACAAGTATTTTATCTTGAAACTCAAATAGGCTGAAATCGCAAAGTAGCTTGCAGTGTGGATGTTTTTAAGACATACAAATAAATACCATCCTTGTCTTCTGGGTCACTTGTGTTTTCATTTAAACAGATGCTCATCACTTGCTGGAGGTCTTTTTTTTTTTAATTTTCTTCTTTGTTTCTCATCCAACGTGGAGGTCTGGCTGAGGTTTGGGAGAACAGTGATTTATTTAACAGTCTTAATTTTACTCGACTGAGAGTCTGCTTGAGTGTTTTGCTTCTTTATGGATTCTTTGTGAATTGCTTTATAGGTCAGATTTTTTAGATTGAAATGTTCCTGGGTATAATAGCTCTCCAGGTAGTTCTGCTTTTTGTCTTGATGCACATGATACTTCCTTTATATTGCTAGGCTGAACTTGGAAGATGAGGAAATGTAAATCTTCTCGCTTTCTTGCTCTCAAACATTTTTTTTTTGCGTTGTTTTTTTCTTAAGAGTAGTCTCGAACTTTTCTGCTGAATTTGGTTATAAAACCCATAGGTCATTATGTATCATGGTATTTAGCTGGATTAGCGAAACAATGCATTGCTTTTGTTTTGGTGGGTTTTCTTTGTTCCCCCCTCCACCAGGTCTGTCCTTCCCAAAGATACTCTCTGTGAGTCAGATGTCTCCATTTCCAAGGCTGGAATGCTTGAAGACTTGGTATCCTAGGGCAGCAGAAGCTGTCACCACCATCAATGGCAAATTAAAGCCAAAGGGCCGAAAGCCCAAAGGGATCAACTGTCTTGTGTGTGGCTGCCCTACTGTGTTGAGGAAGATGAATGCCACCTCTGTGGAGCCAGTCAGGAATTGCCTGAAGGCTTTCCTTTCCTTTGTAAAGGAAAAACAACCAACTCCAGTGATTCCTGACTCAGCAAACCATAAAACTGAACAGTGCTATGAAGAAATCTTTCAGCCCATTCCTTGGTCCACAATGGGATCCATTTGCAGAAGCATCGTGTTTGACATATGTTTATGTAACCCAGTATTGCAAGGTTCTTATTGGAGATTCTGCATTGTTGATTCCAGTTCTTTTGTTAGCTTTGCTATTTAAAAAAAAGAAAAAAGAAAAAAATCCTAATCCATTTCTTCAGTTGTTCTTGCTGTAATTGCTTTCTATCCTAGCCTCCATGAATAGATTTTCCCTTCTCTTTGCAGCAGTTTTCCATGGGTTTCAATGTTTTTCTTCTTGTCTGTCCCCAAGTTTTCTCTCTTCTTAGGCTTACCATCCCTGATTTAGTTCAAGCTTGCCTCGTAGTTATGTTTTCTGACTACTGCTATTGCGCTATTTTGAACCGTCTCCACATCCTACTTAGTTGTTGGCTTCTCAGTACTGACTAAGGGATTGCTTCATTGTCTGCTGCTCTCAGATCTGTTTGCCTCTGAACCAACTTTGTGCTCAGTGCTGCTGCTTTTGTGATTCAACTGTGGGAACTCCAGATATACTGCTATGTTTGACTTGATAGAGTTTTAATGAGTGATTTATTCAGAAATAAATACAAATATACTCGCACACTGGTAGTTGAATATTTGTGATTTCTAGTAATAAACTTGTCTTTGGCACCTGTACGTTAACCAAACAGGTGACGCTATAACTTCTAAATACCTGAGAGTGTTCCTCCACTGAGATGGTGGATTTCTCTGTTTTTAATCAGGTTAAAGAACTGAACCATTATTTGGAAGCTGAGAAGTCATGTAGGACAGACTTAGAGATGTATGTGGCTGTTCTCAACACACAAAAATCAGTCCTGCAAGAAGATGCAGAAAAGCTGCGGAAAGAACTGCATGAAGGTACCTCTAATACTAATCCCTTGGACTCTTTTACACTGAGGGTGCAAAAACCAACGTAGCTGTTAATTCTTTTCTGATTTCTTGTTTAATTTGGATTTAAAGACGTTCTGGGGGGACGAAGCAGTACTTTTAAATGTGAAAGCCCTTGAAACGTTTACAGAAGAGTTGAATGTGGAGTTTTTATGACAAACAGCAGAACCATTCATTCTCTCAATGGATGCTATTGAATTTCTGCTAAGTTCTTACAGTATTGCAAGCTTCTTTCTTATTAAAGTGATTTTGCAACTGTCTTTTATTTACATACAGTTATGAGCAGTATTTCCATAATGTGTTGATGTCTCTGTGAGGTATGTCAGTCCTGAATGCCTGGTGATGAAAAGGATGTGTAAATTTGCATGCGTGACAGTACAGTGCAGAATCACAGTAGAGGACTGAAAAGCAGAACCTTCTGTTGAAATAAAGAGATGTAGAAGGCAGTCTTTTGAAACCAGTATTATAAATACAAGCTATTAGAATTCTTGAGTGAAGTTAAGATGTTAGTCTTCTAATTGGGAAATCGTAAAATGTCAGTAATACATCACTAATCACAAGCCAAGTTTGGGCATTAAGAAAACGTCCCATCCTAAACAGTTGTTGAACAAAGCCTGACTGTGTTTTAGCAGAACAGTAAGTACTTTTATTTGTGAAAATGCTTCTCTTTGGAAAAGAGGTTTAACAAGTTGTGGTTCAGAATGACTCTCTGTTTTTGAACAGTCTGCCATCTCTTAGAGCAAGAGCGGCAACAGCATAACCAGTTGAAACACACATGGCAAAAAGCCAACGACCAGTTCTTGGAGTCTCAACGTTTGCTGATGAGGGACATGCAGCGTATGGAAATCGTTCTGACCTCTGAGCAGCTCCGACAAGTTGAAGAGCTGAAAAAAAAGGATCAGGTTATTTGCTGCTTTCTTTTCTTTTCTTTTCTTTTTTCTTAATACTGGAGATTTAATGTGGTGCAACAGGCATGAAAATCTTACACTGGAGACAAATTGTTTAAGTGTGTTAGTATTTCAAAAAATTATAGCTGACAGTTTTAATAGAAATTCTGCACTTGAATGAGAAAAAAAGAAACTCTCAATTTGAGTGAATATTTTAATATTAATGTATGTAGTAACTTAAAAACTGGTGTTGCCCATGTTGTCAGATGAAAAGGTAATATCCAGCAGTTAATGTGGGAAGAGGAAACAGTCATCTGTGACACAAAACAGCTGGGTTAAGGATAGCAAGTTTTGCTTGTTTATAGGTTTTGCCAATACATTACCTAGCTCAGGCATAAATTAAGAACTTTATTTTAATTTAAATTTAATTGTCATTTAAAGAACTAATTTAAATTTAATTTAAAGAACTAATTTTAAATTAGCTTATGGAAGTGATTGTGTACGGGCTTCATGACTTAGTGTTCTATGATGTCTTTCTTTTGATTCTCTTTCTGTATGCTGTATTCCGTTGTTTAGAGTGATCAAGACACTTCCTATATTTACACTTTGTTTTAGTATTCATGCATGTGTAGTGGCACCTCAAGTGATGCAAGTATGCTGTCCAGTTCTACACATTAGCCAGTGTAACAGCTATTTTTGTTACTTATTTGGTAATTCCTATAATAAGAGTTTTTATATTCTTTGAATAAAGTTGTTCTAGAACAATAAACTTGAAAAGTAAGTTCTTGTCTAAGTCAGTTTGGGTGCCTTGTGAAAGGAACACTACATTTTTAACCAAAAGAATCTTTATGTGATAAATACTGGGTTTTTAACCAAAATAATCCTTTCCAGTGCTGCCTTTGTAGCTCAGTTTATTGTGAAAGATAATGTTGTGGCTACTGCAGCAAAAGTAAATCTCACTTATATGCATTCCCTGTCAACCACTGATTTCCAGGAAGAAGATGATCAGCAAAGGCTTAGCAAGAGAAAGGAGCAGAAGCAAAAAGATTCAGATGACGAAACGAAAGTTTCATCTTCTCTAGCCCATGAGGAAACCCTTACCCAGCTCTCAAGTGAAGAGGTAAAATAACTGGGTAGTTCCAAGCAGCTTTGAGGACTTCTGCATTCCTCAGGGTGTTGATTACAAATACAAATGCAAACTTAGTGCCCTTTATTCTCTGTAGCTTATAATTCTTATTAAGCAATGAAAAATCTTTGGCATTGCACTTGATTATATAAATTCTAATAAAGATTGGGAGACAATACTTCAAAATCCTCTGAGAGGTGCTGTTAAAAACTAATTCACCTTTTCAATTCTGGATGTTAACTGCTATTAAATTCTCTTGAGATTTATAACCATGTTCTAACTCACCTAAATCTTCAGAATTAAACCAATTATATCTGAACATTCAGCAAGTATATTGTAGCTGCTTTGCTAACCTACTTGTTGAATTCTGTACTAAACTTACATTGGTTACACAAGTCTGAGATCACGGACTGTGAAGTTAGCCAGTTGCTTAGCGTGTGCAAAATAGCACGGCGTTTGTGTTTGTATGTATTAAGCTACATTCACTGAAGGTTTTTGGCCACATCTGTTCAGCAGCCAAAAATAAGCTGCTTGGTTTTTTGGTTTGGTTTGGGCTTGGGTTTTTGGTTTGGGATTTTTTTTTTCTTGTTTTGTTGTGGTTTTTTGTTTGTTGGGTTTTTTTGGCCAAGCCAACTTGGCTCTCCACCAAGTTACTGTGGAAGCTGCTTGAGCTGTATAGGTACACTCTGAAAAAGGCAGAAAAATGATGCCGCTGGATATCCTTAGTTAGCAAGCCTTCTGGGGGTTGTAGATGGTCATGCTCTGGGACAAGCCGAAATTGTATTTGAAATTTGCCTAAGCTCTTTCACTTGTAAAGAAACAAGTCCAGTGAGCACACAGGTTGGAGCTTGGAAACAGTATCAAACTGAGCAGTTACTTGCCCTTTCCTGCTGCATTTTGCTTGTTTATCTGATCATCGGACAGGTTCCATTTTGGTCTTGTAAGTCAAAAAAAGGAAGGCTTAATAAAAACAAACCAAATTTTGTGCTGTTGAAGCTTATGGATGCTTCAAGAGGCTTGGGAATTTGCAGTGCGAAGCAATGTTTTGCCTGTTGTATTTGTGCTCTTTGAGGGGAAAAAAAGTATAGACTTCTAGAGTCTGCCCTCAATTATTATTATCAGTGATTTGTAACAGTTCAGACTGCAGAAAGATGTTCAGGATTGTAGCATCTAAATATAGCTGAGATGTAGTGCTACCCTTTATCCTAAAGATACAGCTTTTCCTATGTTAAATACTGTTGTGTGCTAACACTTCTGTATCCAGAGACGCAAATGAGACTTGTTGATGGTAAACAAAAGTTTTGTCTCCTGATGTTATCTTTAATCTCAGTTCCTGGGATACTCTCTATTCCTGGGATACTCTCTAGTCCCTCATTCATAACATTTATTTAATTCTAGGAACTATACATAATGGAAAATTTTACATTTTGAGTAAGGGCATAGTTTCCAGAGTTGTTGTGGTTTTGCTTATGGATTTGGGTTTTGTTGCTGTTTATGACCTGTTTTTTAGCTGTACAGAATATGTTTTAGAAGTGGTAATGTATTGTATTACCAGTCATGTCTCATTACTTGTCCTAATCTGACTTTTGAGCTCTTGTCTGTTGAGCAGTTTGCAATACAAGCAAATTATTTAATTGTCTCACCAAACAGCTGTTGTCTGAAGATGCAGTTTTATCTAAGTCCATATTGTCTTGACTTTTTGTTATGAACTTAAACTCATAATAACTTTAATATGTAATATATAAAGATTACTCCTAAATTTTATTAAAACAAGGCATTTACAGCAGTCATGAAAACAGTAATGCATACTATATAGTTATAAACACCCATATGAAAGTACTACCTACCTGCTAGTCTGTACTGGACCTACTTCAGAAATCATTATTTTTTCCAAGAGGCTTGTTTTCAGTGATGTTCACAAAGCAAAATTGCTTAATATATTGGAAGGTATTTTGAAAGCAGCCATATGCATTTTAAATAAAGCATTACTGCTCTCTTTTCAGTACTGCAAATAAATAAAAATAGATCAGGAGACTTAATGAATGTGCCTGATGCATGTCACAGGACAGTTAGTGTGCCTTTTGGTACTGGCATTTCCCAGGATGTCTTTTTCTTTAAGATCAGCCTTTTCCATTTTGATTTTATGTACAAATAATCTGTTAAAGGAAGTATTTCTTTCTGTTAAAATATTTTGTCAAACATTCAAAGCAGAAGAGAGAAACAGAAGAACATTCACTTGTCAGCGTGGAGCAGATTTTAAGTGTGTCGTTCTCCATTTATTTTTATGTCAATGTAAAGGTTTTTGTTTTCCAAAAGACTTCTGAATTTACTTGTGAAAGTGGAATATTTGCCTTCTGTTGTGTAGGTCTAGTTCTAGAAGTGATCATGCATGTGTATCTCTGTAGTGGAGGAAGCGCCTTGTTTCAGATACTGGAAGATGTAAGGTGACTGTGTCCTTGCTTGTCTGGCAGGAAGACAGGTTGTTACAAAAGCGCTCTGGTAACAGAAGACTTATTTTTCCTTGTTTGTTTTGGTTTTTAATTCTAGCTGGTACACTTCAGTTCTTTATCCTTTTCTCTGCCATCTTAAGTTTAGTGGTTAGATGTTCGTAGTAAAGCCAATTTAATCTTGCCTTTACCATGTCTCATAATAACTGCTCAGCGTTCCTCTTGTACCATACTTCTAGATTGGAGGATGTAATTTTTTCTTCCTTGTTTTTCAGTTACAGGTGCATGTCAATAGCACCCATGGCTCAGTCCATTCGCTGGATGCAGACTTGCTTATTTCTTCTGGTGAATCTTTCAATAAATCAGATAATGATATGTTTAAAGATGGACTACGGAGAGCACAGTCAACAGACAGTCTGGGGACATCTGGATCTTTACAGTCCAAAGCTTTAGGATACAACAACAAAGCAAAATCTGCTGGGAACCTGGATGAGTCAGACTTTGGACCACTCGTTGGAGCAGATTCAGTGTCTGAGAACTTTGATACAGCTTCCCTTGGGTCTCTGCAAATGCCAAGTGGGTTCATGTTAACCAAGGATCAGGAAAAAGCAATCAAAGCAATGACACCAGAGCAAGAAGAGACTGCTTCGCTTCTTTCCAGTGTTACACAAGGGGTAGAAAGTGCTTATGTATCTCCTAGCGGTTACCGCTTGGTTAGTGAGACCGAGTGGAACCTCCTGCAGAAGGAGGTAAGTACCCACGGCCTGCATCTGCTCTGACCACTGCCTGTCTTGTGGGCTGTCTGCCAGGTGAAAGCTTCTCCTGATTTGCTTTACATGGAGTCAGGTGTGGAAGATAATGCATACGTAGCATCGTATGTAGCTATTCACTTTTCTCTCTTGGAACACTTCTGTCCGTAAAGCACATCTGATTTGAACCATATTGGCTGACTATTCATGGGAGTCCCAGCTTTACTAAATACAAGATATTTTTGCACTTTGGCAGAGGTAGCTGTTGATTTCACAAATATGTTAGAGGGTGAGAAAAAATAGGAGTACTCAAAGAAAAGGAGAAAATGGGAAGCTAAGGAAAGAACGTTATAGTGCATCTGGGGGTGACCGGGGAAGTGCAGAGATTGACAAGAGGAGCAGAGCTAACAGTGGTTTTTTCTATGCCAAGGAGTTTTACTGAGGGTTGTGCAATTTAGAAATGAGCAGTCAAGATCTGTGTAACATGCAAAGCTACCACAAAGGAAGATTCAGAAAATTATTGAGGACTTGCATCATCAGAAACCGGCTTCTCAGAGCAACAAGCAGCAGATTAGACTTAACGCTGTGCCAGTTCTGGTATGGGTGACCAAGGAAATTGTTGCTTTTGGATGTTCTGTCTGCCAGTTTTTCATCAGCTTTATATGATGCCAGTTCAACGCTTGCTTTGGTTTTATTGCTGAAAAGAGGAGTATTGTGGGGCCCCTGTGGTTACTGTTTCAGAAGAGAGGCCAGGCAACAACACTTGAAGTGGAAGAAAAAGGTGGGGGGAGGAGATAGCAATCCGTAATGGATTGTTAATGAAAGGGAAACCAAGATTGGGGTAAAAGAAAGGGGCTGCGAGAATGCAGTGAAAGAGAAGAGGCAAGGCAAAGGGCAGATGAATTGAAGAAGTAGTGATACTGTATTTCCTCAGCTTGTTGGAATTCGACTTATCTGCAAATCATTACTTAGGAGGTCTCTCCAAAGCTATTGTAAAGTAGTTGGGTTTTTTTGTATTGCTACTGATTTGTAATATCTGGAGAAGTTACGGAGTCTTGATCTCAGACCTCATTTAAATCTTCTAGTCTTGAGTATTTCCTTGCCCTGTTCACATTTGGATGACGCTTTACTCCAACCCTTTCTGAGAATTCAGAAAAGAAGCTCTCTGCTTCCCACGTGTTTCTGGAGGCAGGAGCGCAGGTAGGGTGTGTGAGTGCCACTCTGTGTGGGTGGGACCTGGAGCAGCAAATACGAATACGAATACAGCTCAAAGTTGCCTTGCAGCTGGAGCTTTGATAAAACTTCCTTTTGTCCCTTTGGCCAAAACCATTGCAGTTACAAAATGGCAGCAGGTTTACTTTGTTTCCCTGTTGCGCACTCCAACACTTCTAAAATTTATTTTCCTATCTTCTGTTTGATTTGGTTTCATGTTGTTGGTTTTAGTGGGTTTTTGGTGGTGGTGGTGGTTGGTTGTTTTTTTTAAATCTGCCTATCTTCTATTTTATTCTTTTTTCTTCTTCAATTGTTCTTTTAGCTGATTATTCAGTCTCTGGTCCTAAGCAATACTGGAGGAGAGTACTAAAAAGTAAATAAAGCTTGATGATTGTTGTAGAACAAAATGAGTTTGTGCCATTGAGAAACATTCAAAGCTCAGTTACAGGAGGATAAAGCTTTAAGGAGGTTCTGACCTGATGAGCTGACTTGCCTTTTAATTGGTTTGTGGATTAAAAACAAACAACAGCAACAAAAAACCACCACAATATTAAAAAACCAAAATACACTCTCTCTCCTATCTCCAAAACAATAAAACTGTAATATTGTGTTTATAATTGGATTCGTAATTTAAATAATTGCATTTAAAATGCTATGGTCTGTTGAAAGCTTTTCTATGAGATGTCTTTTTCTATACAGGTAATCAGATAATACATTTCAAATGGACACACCGAATGAGTCGTTGAACTCTTGCATGTCATGGCTTTTATTGCTTTTGTGCTAAAAACGGGACTTGTGTCAGGAAGAGCTGATATCCTGCAGCTGATTTACCTTATCCTTTACTTTCAGAGCAACTTAATCTTGCTGTTATGTGATGCTGCCACTATCTTTTGTCTGTAGTATTTAGTGATCACACAGCAGACCTGAGAGTTTGTAGCCCTGAATCCTTGAAGAATTTTCTGGCCCTTCTGACAGGTGGTACCTCTGTGTTCTCCAGGTGCAGAATGCGGGGAACAAACTGGGTAGACGCTGTGATATGTGCTGCAATTACGAGAAACAGTTGCAAGGTATCCAGATTCAGGAGGCTGAGACAAGAGACCAGGTGGGATTTCTCTTCAAGCTTTAGCAAGACTCTTGCAGTTGGTTTTAATTGAACAATGTCAGCGTAGTTGAAATGGATAACTTCTGACATTTTACTGACATAACCTGATTTGTTACTGCGGGCATGAGCACCACGTGTACCTACTTCTTAATGATTCACCTTGGAGAACAACTTTATCCAGTGCTGTAAGAGCATGCAGTAAAGGCAGCGTGCTATAAAAAGTGGTGTGCTCATGCTGAAGTCATTATCTTTCATAATTTATGTTCTAAAATGCTTTTCATACATTAAATTCTAATATCTTTGATACGGCAAAGGAAAAATTAGAGAACCTCATCCTAGCAGCATAAAATGACTGCAAAGTAGTGAGGGATGTGTTTTTTTCTGTCATATACTGAAGAACAACTTTCAGATGGGTATGGAAGGCATGAGTCACATTCTGCTTTGAAACAAGTGATTGAAGTCATTGCATGGCGATGGTCCAGTGCAGTTTGGTGTCACCATGTCCCATAGGTGTAATCCGTGATGCAGGGTGTTTCAGAAGAACGACAAAGAAACTGCTGGGTTGCATAGAGTTTTGAGCAATTTTATTTTGTGGTTTGGGAGTGCGATGGGGTAGGTTATGTTTGTGCTCATATATATATATAATAAAATATATGAAGTGTATGTGAAATGAAATATATAATGAAATTTATGACATAAATACTTCCCTGAAGAATGGAAAATTGAATTATGTTGTTGTAACAACACAGGTGAAAAAGCTGCAGGTGATGCTGAGGCAGGCAAATGACCAGCTGGAAAAGACAATGAAAGATAAACAGGAATTGGAGGATTACATGAAACAAAGTGCTGAAGACTCCTCTAATCAGGTACAAGCATTTTGTAATCGAGATGGTAGAAACCATGAAATGTTATTCAAAAGTCTGTAACAAGATCTCTTGTCTTCTGTTAGATATGAAGGGAATACCCGCTGTAGAGGCAATAAAAATCAGAATTTATAGGATTAATTATGCTCTACCTGAATCTGCAACAGTTTCTAGAAAACTCTGACATGTCTCTAATGTGTTATCCAATTTTGGCCCTAAAGTTTCATATCTAATTGTGAAATTGGTGACAGAAGTTGGTGATTGGAATTTGAGTAGTGTTTGAGTTTTGAAGTGACCTGTGTATGAAATCACCCAAACATGCAAAAGCAGCCCTTGTGATCCTGGTCACTGTCCGTGTCAGTAGAAGAGCTGTATGATTCATACCAATTGCTCTCATCAGTACTTGACACCCAGTAAATGGACTTGAGGTGAAGACATGCAGGTAACAGTAGTCACTGTTGGTTAGTAACAAGGAAGAGAACTTGAGTTGTTACTTCTTTTTCAAAATCTGTTTCATGGTTTATATCTTTGTCTGTATGGGGTGTTTTGGGTTTTTTAGATCTCTTTGCTTATGGCTAAATGTCAAAAGTCGGAGAACTTCCTCAGTGAACTGCAGCAGGCATTTTCGCAAGCAAAGAGAAGCGTCCAGGAGCAAATGGTAAGACAGCGTAAGCCCAGAGGTCACTGGAGCGGCACTGCTTGTCTAACCTTTGGTGTCTGTAAAGGCTTTGTGTTGCTGCCCAGCCAAGCTTGGCTAGAGAGAACTGTGCTTCTTGGCACGTGAGGTTACTGACCAATTGAGCTCTGAGAGAAAGTGCTGAACCTGTAACAGCTTTTAGCATCAGTCTGTCCTACTGGCTGTGTGTCTGCATGTTGATTAATACAGAGATCGCTAGTGAACTTTTTTCTCCCTTATTTATTATGTACATTCCACGTCCATTTAGTATCTTCAGATCTGAAGACAGAATACATTTTCTCAATACATTTTTTAGGATTTGTAACGAATAGCATCACTAGTGAATAGTTTATTGAGTTTGAGAAGAATGCTCAATGTTTTTACAGGTCAGACTTAAAATATCAGCACTAACACCCAGAAAGAGGTTTGTATGGGAATTTTTTTTTTTTTTAGACTATTTTGAGCATCTTGTAGGAGCTAAGCCAGAGAACAGGAATAGGACCTCATTTTCTAGGGCAGAACAAAGTCTAACTTCCTTAGAGCAGTTCATTCCCTTCTGTGTTAGAATCAAGCTGCTGCTCTTTTCCTCCCTTGCACGGCATTGTGGGGACTAAGGGCATTCATTGTCATGAATCCCAGTATTGCATTCCTGGGGTCTGGGATTGTCTGTAGGACATCAGGACATTGCTTGCAGCAACATTTTGTTTGATGTTCTGCATGAGAGCACATCTAATGGAGATGAGGGAGATTCTGAAAATGTATTGATCTGAATATGATTGTCATGGTGTTCAAAGGGCAGCCTCTATCAGAGTTCAAGTCCCTGTTTCCCCGTACCGAAGCAATTATTGCTCTTAGAAAAGTTCACTGGATCTTTTTGTTTTGTAATGCAAGCAAAGCTGTGTTTTCTCAATCCTTTTTCTTCTCAAGGAATTGGCTGTTTTGATGTTGTCCTCAAAAGGCAGTGGGAGGCAGATGCCTACCACTGAAAGTTTCAGGATGAATATTTAGGGTTTTTGAATAACCGGATCTTACAGCTGAGTTGTTAGGTGATTTTAGTAAACACCACTGCCAGTTTCCAAAACCACATGGGATCCCCCTCTTTCACACCTCCCCACCACGAGCACAGCCAGCTGATGGATAACTGCAGAAGAACACGGAGAGACTTAACAATGCTGCATTTATCACTTGCTTCCTCCTGTACAGTCAAGATTGATCTTGCCTTCATTTCTGGTGCATGGGCTAGGCAAGAGAGGACTGATCATCTTGATCCACACAAACATTTCGTTTCTGTTCTTTACAAAGAATACCAATTCCCCAGACTTTTGAAAGCAGTGATAGTAAATGGGGCGTGAGGAGACCTGAGTGTAACTCTAAGTGAGAATTTATGCTTTTCTTTACATTGGAGGCTGTCCTGACGCAGTCAAGGGAGCAGGTTTCGGAAGCGCTGGGGAGACTGCAGAAAGGTAATGAAAGTCTTCAAGGAAAACACAGCTTGCATGTGTCTTTACAGCAAGCCGAAGACTTTGTTCTACCAGAAGCAGCAGAGGTAAAACATTCTTAAATCATTAACACAAATAATGCATGTGTCTGGATCCTGCTGGAAGAATCTGACTTACCAAAAACAATCTGGATTTTAACCCTGTAAATCTGTGATGCACAAAAATCAGTATTCTGATCCCACTGTGCCATGAGCATGCTTCAGGGTATAGATAGATAATAATAAAATGAATTAACAGCTGCTGTGTTGTCAGTAAAGTGTGGGCTTATCCCACTTCAGCCAGTTTAGGCTGTATTTTGCAACTGGTCACACAAGTGATCAGTTACCGTGGGTCCAGTGTTGGTATTTATTCAGTAACTTAGGCTAAGTCAGTCCCTGCAATTTCTGGCCAGGCATTAAGATTTGTGATAATCCTGAGCCTTGAGTAATGGTAAACCTTGTCATTCATGGCCACTCCCTTATGCTCATGCATGTCAAGCTTAAAGGGTTGTGGGAAGTGAAGGGCAAGGAGAGAGGGTCGTACATCTGCAGAGAGAGAAATATTTACACGTTCTTCATTTACTATGGCCTAGCAAACTGTGGTTTTGTTTTAATACCTTTGTGGATGCAAGATCCGGTATGGTGGGACAAACCTCGGAGTAGTATAGTTTTGTCTTTGGCTTGTATGGTGATAAATACAGTACTGTGTGTATCTGAAGATAATAATACAAATATTTGCTAATCATTGATTCAGGAGCTCCGTGAGCTGATTTTAAAATACCGTGAAGACATAATTAGTGTGCGGACAGCAGCAGATCACCTCGAGGAGAAACTTAAGGCAGAGATTTTATTCTTAAAAGAACAGATTCAAGCTGAACAGTATTTAAAAGAAAATATAGAAGAAACTCTACAGCTGGAAATAGAAAATTGCAAAGAGGAAATAGGTGAGCCAGGGGTAAAAGTCTCAAAACGGGAATATTAGAAATTAGTAAGTAAATTAGGACTTGATTTTACGATACGTAGACTTACCTGATTTTTAAAAACTGGCCATTTTTGATCGCAGCTACACCAAAGCTGTGCAGCTGAAAAGTACAATTATTTGTTTACCTTTTTGGTACCTTAGATGTCATGTGCTTAATTCTCCTTTAAATATTAACAGAATTAAACAGAGTCTGTCCAGTTTCCTGTGCTTTAGTTGCATTTAACCTTTAATATTCTTGTTTTCCAGCTTCCATTTCCAGTTTAAAGCCTGAACTGGAAAGAATAAAAATGGAAAAGGAACAGGTAAGGAGCCCTTTCACTGTGGAATTTTGGGGTTTGTTTTTAAACAAACAAAATGGGATTTTTTTTTCTGCTAGTCCTGTCAGTGACACAGTCTTGGTGTCTTTGTTGACATCAACCTCTTTATATCAGAGGAAATTCAGCTTTTTTTTCCCATCTGCCCTTGGGGAGCGTGTTACAGACAGTAACACTTTAGTTATATTTTTGAATGACGTTCAGTATGTCCAGTATTGGGAGGGGAAGAGCGCTG